TTCCAAGGAGTGGGCTTTTAATCTGTAAACACCCTCTAGTGCATAAGGATAATGGTCCCTTGCAAGATTTAGCAGGAGTGCCTGCGGCGAAGACGGCGAGAGGGCGAGCCGTCAGTTGAATAACTCACCCCATCCCACCCCTCTTCTTCCAGGAGTGAGCACTAGGAAGAACATTGATGCCATGGGATGGTGAGGGAAATAGTGTCCATCCATATGGTGTGCGTTGCTACCTTGACACCTAGGGCATAACCATGCTTCTATAGTGCCATGGCAAAGTAGGGTTGTGCAGAGAGAAGCAGAGGAGGTTAGTGAGATGGTGGGAAGGGTTTCTTGCTGGTCTTGATAAATCCTCCTCATCCAAGGGAGCATGTAAGGTGCTGCAAGTATAAGTTGCAACCTACTCAGTGGAGTTAATTTTCTGAGTTCTATGGTTTGCTTCTCTGAAGGCTGTAGTAGGCTTGGCTGTGCTTAGTCAAGAAGAGTTTCCCAACATGGAGTTGCTGGGAGTGGACTGACTACCTCAAATCGTCTTTCTTTCCACCTTTCCATATAGCTGTACTAGCCAACTAGGCAATTCAAGGCCTGCTTATGGGCACTGTAACCTCATCATGCTGCTAAATTGTTAGTATAATTACTAGATTGGTCAAGGCTTACTAGCACTCTCCCTAGTAATCATAATCTGAGCAGGGTTCAGGACTCCAGAGGGGCCGGGGATTGTTCCCAATGGAGCCACCTTCAGTGGATGTTCTGAGTATGAAGGTGGCTACCTGGTTTTGGAGGATGAGAGAGTTCATTTCTATGGTCAGTCTAGGCCCATTGGCCTCAGGAGAAGTGATCAGACCCATGTCCTTTGTTGACTATTGTAGATATAGTCTGAGACTCCTGACCTTGGTCAGCTTGTAGTTGTGTGTGAAAGGCCATCAGGACTCTTCTTTGCTCAAAACATAGCCCAGGCCCTGCGGTGATGTGCTTTTCCATGGTCCTGCAACCCTCTTACACATCAGCATCCTCTGCGTTTCAAGCCAGCCTGTTGCCTTAGGCATCCTCCTGCACCTTCTGCTGGTGATATTCAGAGCTACCTCTGTAAATTGAACAGTACCAAGGCACAGGAATAATCCTGTAATAGTTCACCCCATTAAATTGTCAGCACAGTCTCTGGCAATTTTGGCCAAGGCCAGCTTGCATGGACATAGCTGCCTGGAGTTGAGTCATGCCGGTTGACCAAGGACAAAGGCTGGTCTTTGGTCTGCTTTGTTTGATGATACAGAGAGAGCCTCCAACTGCATAATCCTATCTCTGGACATTTCTGCTACAGTCCTTGCTGAGACTGCTGAGCAGCCTCTCTCATCCACAAAGCATCTTTTTCCACAGTACTTCGGGTGGGTATTTTTTTTAGAGTAGGAACATCTCCTCTCCTCCCTCCTGGTGGCATCCCAGGGCTCTCTCCAAAGGTTATTTGACCACATTTCTGGAGCCAATGGCTTTGGCTCCTAAAAAACGTATTTTGGAGCAGGGACAGCAGTGACTTTGCCCCACGCAGTTTGTGTGTGCTACTGCAACATACACAGTAAATAAGCGTGAGAGTAATTATACCAACAGGAATTCTGGGAACCCTGCCAGAATGGAGGGGACAGCCAATCCTTTGTGCATTTAAAGAAAATTGCCCTGAATGCCCCTCCCAACCCCAAATTAGTTCTATCTCTTGAAGCCATGATGAGACTTTGAACTAAAAATACATGCATACACACAAATACACACACTCGTATATAAAAATAGCCAGCATGCAAAAAATAAAAAGCCCAAAGTTAGGCTCCTGTATCCAAAATTAAGCTCTTAAATAAATCAATTAGCCTGATTTTCAAAAGCACAGAGCAGTGAATGGCTTTCACTGACATAAGAGGAAGCATCGTGTTGCTAAAGATTGAAGATCAGGCCTGAATATGGATTTGAAAGTCTAATTATAGAATCCTGTTTGCTACCAGCTTGGCCAAAAACAACAAATTTCAGGTGAAATGACATTGATTTTTTTTTCCCCCTCAGAGTTTGTCTACACTTAACCGGTGTTAGTAAAGGTAGGAAAAAGCCCTCAAACAAGTAAACGAAATACCACAAAGAAATAGGTACACTGGAATAAAACTGCTCACACCAGTGCTGTACATTCATGTTCGGAAATCCAGTTAAGCATTACCAGTGTTACAGCTGGGTGAAATTTTGCACTGATTCATTAGACAGGTATTTATTAGTTGTTGAAAGCCGACCAGCTGGCCAAAATTATGCCAAGGGATTCCCGAGGTCATAATCCCTCGTGACAATTGTATAGGGACATATTTGTCCTGCTGAGTCATCCAGTGCAGATCAACTTGGGCAGGGCTGGGCTGTATGAAGTATATGAAAGTCAGGAAAGTATGTGCACACTGGGTGGAGGACCATCAGCAAGCAGAGTGGTACTCCACTCATAGGTTGCTGTTGTGGTGTTTAGAGGCTGGAGACAGCACTAAAAGATCTGGGTTCTGCTTCCAGAAGACTTTGGGAGAGCCCTTTTGGTGCTCTGTGACTCAGTTTCCCCACCTATGGAAGGGCCACAATACAGCTGAACTTTGCAAAAGTGTGTGGGCTCAACAGCCAAGAGAATCTGGTGTCACTGTCCTTGCAGTTCTTCTGGCTATTGGTGGAGGCAGAACCAGGACATTACATTTATCCAATGCTTTTTTACGTCCTTTTATGTGTGCTGCGTCCATGAATAGGTGACGGGCCCTCTCGCTGTGGCCAGTTAGGAACGTTCATGCTTAGACTGTGTGGATGGTGGTGAACCCCCAGAGATCAAGGAGAAATCATTGCAGGACGTGGTGTCCCTTCTGCTGGTTTCTTCTTAATCTTTTTGAGTGACTGAGTGCCATTGCTATAGTTTGGTTCTACCAACTTGGAGCACTTGGAAAAGTAAAGACAGTCTGAAAAATAACCAAAAACTGTAGACAGCTGGTGGGGACTGCAATGTGGAAGAGTAGAGGTCTAGCATGTGTGAGCTGTGAGAAGAGATTGAAAGAAATAGGGGTTTTTTTTGTCTGGAGAAAAGATGACTGAGAGTTTTGCATGATAAATAGGTGCAAACAGGCAAAAGACTGCTGTGGGGTGAAAATGAATGAATTCTTTTCCTTCTC